GAGCCTGGAATTTGGTTAGTCTAATTTCGATTTTGTTTCCTGTTTGCCTTTAAGGACAATGAGCCAAAATTGTTCAAAAGAAGATGCTGGTCACGTGCTAATTCACTGCAGCAGACGGTATTTTCAAAAACTGGACACACTCTCTCCCTTCCACATGCTCTCTGCATAGTGTGCCACGGCTCTGTTAAAAAGTGAAGTCTGTGCCCCACTCCTTAAGGCTGAGTGGGTCTCTGTGACTGACTGGACCACTACGACGTGGTGAAAGTGATGCTGTGTGACTTCTGAGCACAGAAACGGTCATACGGTGGGGAGGGTACAGCTCAAGCAGTAGAGCACATGCCTAGCATGCATGATGTCCTGGGTTCAATCCCCAATAGCTTCCCCACCAATAAATAAACCCAATTACCTCCCACCCCACCCAAAAAAAAAGAAACTATCATACAGCTTCTATCGGGCTTGTCGTCTTGGGGTGCTTGCTCCTGGGAATCCAGAACACAGGCTATGAGGAAGCGCAGGCCTCAGGGAGAGGCTATGTGTAGGAAGGTAGAGTCAACAGCCAGCAGGAAGTGACTGGCGTGTGAGTGAGCAAACCCCAGCCACCTCCTGCCCACAGCTACATGGGAGACCCGGGACGAGACAGCCTGACTGAAGCCAGTCTCCCAGAGATGGATGATGAAGGACTGTATTGCTTTATGACACTTAAGTCCGGGTAGTTTGTTACGCTGTGACCTGGAACATCTGAGTTTCAGTATGAGCAACCACGGATGTGGACAAGGCCACCCACCCAATGCAAGGCTGAGGTTAAGGCACCAAACACGGCACTTCCTGGAGCTCAGCCCTTCGGCTGCTCCCACAGCCAACCTGGAGAAACCCGCTGACCTGGAGTCAGAGGCTGTCTGCCATCGACTTCTCCACAGACCCTTAACCACTGTCCTCCTTTTCCTGGTTATTCATAAACCTAGGATTCTGCTAGATTTCTTCTTCAACCCTTAAAACAAAAAGACACCTTCTCTGGAAAAATAAGGTTACAAGTGCATATAAAATAAAGGTATAAAATAAAATAAGATCCTCCAATAACATGGCCTCCTCACTCCTGACAGACAGCTCAGACTGCAGCAGAATGAAAGTCTCCCTACCCCGACTGTGTGTCGACAGTCTGTCCTGACTCTTCTCTCACGAGCGCAAAGAAAAAGACAAGTGTAATCAGCAGGGTAGCACAAAAACGCAGGACCATCCAATTAGACTTGGACCCCAAATGCTGAAGGCGATAGATAGTGCATAAGAAAATTCCACTCAGCCATCAAGAGCAAGGAAAGAAGTCGAGATGCTAACTTTATTAACAGTAATTTAATAAAAAATTGAGCATTCTAAGAAACTCTAAATTAGCTAGTATTTTCTCTTCTTACGTCTCTGAAATGGATAGGAATGATAGCAAACAGAAACATTTTCATGTTTGCTAAAAACTTTTCTTTTTATGGTTTTCTAAATTTAAAAGCTACCACAAATTCAGTAAAGATAAACGAAGGGATACAAAAAATAAACAAAACAAACAAAACCCAAACCAAAACCAAGTACAAGGGGCATGTTTTGTTATCAAGATACGAGTGCAAAGCATTTCATTTTTTGGCCAAGTGTCGAAAAACTAAAGAACTGTCAGGCTCTGGTCACGAGATGGATAAGGCTGCATGCTGCTGAAGTAATTAAGCAAAGAGACCATTAGACGGAGGTGGCTCTAAATTCGTAGTGCTGTGGCGGCCTATGTAAACAACCCAGAACCGATGCCCGTAAGAGCCTCCGGTTATGAAATCAAAACCTAAGGACAACCGATGACAAATAGCCAACCAGGCTGTGAGCTACAGCCAGTCAGCGTGCTCTTTGCTTCGCATCTGTCTTTTCTCTGTCAAAGTCCCTCCCTGAGCTGCTGGCAGTAGGAGGTCCCTGACCACTTGTGTGGCATTGCCAGATTTGAACTGATTTTTGCACAACTAAATGCTTACATTTCTTAATATGCCTCAGTTTGTTGTTTACCAATACAGAAAGCAAACAGTGAGAATAAGATACTCTTTGAGGAAAAAAAAGTGCCTGGGGCTGGGGCCAGAAGCCAGTGTGGAAGTGACCCCAGTTGGGGCTCGCGAAGCTCGGTGCACGGTACCATCTGCCTGGACAGGCCCGTGGGCTGAAGTCCAAGCCCGGGTTTCTTCAGATACGCAGTGGTCTCCTGGCCTTGTCTGGAGAGGTCTCCAGTGTCTACTGAGCCCTGGTCTCTCATTTCTGAATCCCACAGGACAAAAACAGTAGTCAGATTTGACTGTTTTAGTTCCAAAAAGAAGAGGAAGGGAAAAAAAAAAAAACCCCCACAAACCCCAGCTTCTAATGTTGAACAGGGTCCCTGACTACAGGGAGAACAGCAGAGCTTCCTGGGATCCAAGACAGTGGCTCTCAGCTCCAGCTCACTTGGGCTTTGTAACCATGGTTTTCCAAGGCCCAACTTTATAAAAATAGAATATTTATTTAAAAGATAAAACCTGACAAATGAGCCACTGCTGTTTCTACTTGCAAAGTGCCACGGGCCTCCCAAAGCACAAGCCCATATAATCTGATACATGCGTGGCCTACATAACAAGGTCCCCGGGCACCAGCTGTCTGCTTACTTCTAGCCCCAGGGCGACTCTCAGGGGTGCTCAGGGAATGGCACCCAGAAACTTTGAAGGATGATCCTCAGAGAGCCTTTCCTGAGTGTCAAAACTCCTCCTCCAGCTGGAGAGCATACCTAGTGTCCGAGGAGGCCCCTGTAGCTTTCCCTTTGCCTCCATCCCTGGACTTGCCCCAGGGCAGGTGGAAGGACCACGTCCAAGTGCCTTCTTCTTCACGACCTTGATTTGTGAATACTTGTGACCGATGGGCCACATCTCTGATCTCTACCTCCATTTTTCTGTTGAGCCACAGATACGCAGGAAGAAAAGTAAGTGAGATTTGGGAAGAGACTTCAGTGATTTACAGAGGGAGCCACACGAGGAATAAAACGTGTGTATGGGTTCTATCATTGTTAAAGGATCAAATTACATTAAACTGCAAAGGGTTCCAGTGTGTGTGGATATTTTTCTTTTTTCCTGCTTTACCACTTTCAGAGATCCCCTGATAATCCTAAGGAATCATGACTTCCCAGGATTAGAGAGTATTGTGACTAATATGGTAATAAAGAATGGGGCTCTGCCACTTATCCACTGTGTTTCCTTGTCTATAGTTTTGTCTTCAGACAAATCACAAACACAGAGAGACAGTTTATGAAGCCTCATGGAACACACTTACAGCTACTTGCCATGGTACACACATCAAGGCCAAACAACTTTCCCTGTTAAGAAATGGTCCCTGACATCAAACACAAAATTTCTTTTCTTGCAGCCTCATACCATTTCCTTTCACATCATGCTCTGAGGAGTTGAAGCCTAACTGTGCACCAGTTCCTTTTTGTAAATTTCCTTTATGTAAAATGGCATATTTTTGAAAAAAATAGATTAATTTAATTTTAAGAGCCTTAAAGGGGCTTGCCTTTGAAGTTTACCCGACAGTAAATCATTTTTCCATGTGGACTAATTTGCTTTTACTTCCAGTGAAATGTACTTTTTAGGCAACTCCATCTATTCTATTACGAAATGTATTTTTTTATAGCTAACCTGTTACATAATTACATGTTGTTTAGTAACTGGGGAAAGGCGACTAGAAAAGTTGCACTATCAGTATATTTTCCAATTAGGTGTATTAATACTGCCATGCGTTCTTCTAGTGTTATAATTCCAATGTTGAAATTTAACCCAATTCTTTAGTTGTTTGTTGTGGTCACAGGCATAGACAGAGGGAAAAAGAGACAGAGGTTAAAACTGTTAATACTCCTCCTCTTTGAAGAAGACCTCACTGTGGTGCCCCAGTGCTCTGCTTCCTAACAGGCAGGTTGTTTGATGGAGCAATGACCTGTAACGATTCCACCAGCTCACATCTGTGCCCTACATTATAGTAGGTCACTCTAGGGTCATAAACAGTTGGAATACACGGTCCCTGTTCTCAAAGACTATATAACCTAGCTACGTTGGGGGCAGTCCTATGATGCAACTTTATGTGGTGGAAGGAACAATGGACCAGGATCAGAAGACATGGATTCACATCTTGATTTTTGTCCTCTGACATCAGTGTGTCCAAGGACAATTTCCTAAACAGAGCAGATCCTCAATTTCTGCTTCTGAAGAGAAACAACAATCCGTATCCTCCCTGTTGCACTGGATGGTGATGAAATAAAATAATACATGTGAACGTGCTTTATAATCACAAATGCACTTAGATGTTTTCAACACAAAAGAGCCAGTACCTAGTTCTATGCTACCTACATGTGCGAGGACCTGCAGGGGGCAGTGAGAGGTAGGGAGATTTTGCAGAGGCCGTGGACTTTGTGTAGCTGTGAAAAATGAGTGGTGTCTAGGGCAGAGGAGTATAGGGCAGAGGTTAAGAGCAGTACCATTGGTTGAAAGACTGAAAGGAAAATGCAGCGTATAAACCACAATGACAAGAGCTCTACCTTAAACCCTAGAAGTACAGGAATTAGTAGGTAGCTATAGAGCCTAGAACTCTGCCTGACACCACTGAACGTGAATGTATTCAGTAATTGTTTGAATTCTAATAAAAGAATGACATTTAGCTTAAAATACTTCTATCAAAAATTCTATGGTGTTGTTATCATCACTGAATTTGTAGAAAGAGATGTTAATCCCTTGCCCAAGGTAAGTTAGCACATGGTAGAACCAGGAAAGGAGTTTGCTTTAACGCTAAAAGCCATGTACTTTCTTCTTAGTGAGAACAGAACATTTCTCCTCTGTCTATTCCCAAAAGAAATGAACATGAATGTGAACAGAAACGAGCAGAGACCCGAAGTAGATTAACCAAAAGAATTTACCAGCCTACTATTTGAACCACCCAGGTTCCTTACGTAATTTTTTATTTTCTTAGATACCATGTATGATTTAATAAAGAAAGAGAATCGCACTTTGGTGAGTGAGTTCACTTTCCAGGGTTTCTCCAGCTTCCACGAGTACCAGCTCCCTCTCTTTATCATGTTCTCTACACTATACATCTTAACCCTGGCAGGCAATACCATCATTGTGACCATCATTAGCTTTGATCGCCACCTCCACACGCCCATGTACTTCTTCCTCAGCATGCTGTCAGCTTCAGAGACCGTGTACACACTCGTCATTATACCCAAGATGCTCGATAACCTCATAGGCCCGAGTCGGCCCATTTCTCTGGCAGGCTGTGCCACTCAGATGTTCTTCTTCATCACTTTGGCCATCAACAACTGTTTCCTGCTCACAGCCATGGGGTATGACCGCTATGTGGCCATCTGCCACCCCTTGAGGTACTCTGTCATCATGAACAAGAGGGTGTGCATCCAGCTGGTGGGGGGCGCCTGCAGCATTGGGCTGACTGTGGCCATGACACAGGTTTCAGCCGTATTCAGGCTGCCCTTCTGTGCCACAAAGGTGGCCCACTTCTTCTGTGACATCCGGCCTGTGATGAAGCTCTCCTGCATTGACACCACTGTCAATGAGATCCTGACTCTGATCATCAGTGTCTTGGTGATCCTGGTTCCCATGGGACTGGTTTTCACTTCCTATATCCTCATCATCTCCACCATCTTAAAAATTGCCTCAGCCGAGGGCCGGAAGAAGGCCTTTGCCACCTGCGCCTCTCACCTCACTGTGGTCATCGTCCACTATGGTTGTGCCTCCATTGCCTATCTCAAGCCCAAGTCAGAGAACACCAAGGATCAGGACCAGCTGATCTCAGTGGCCTACACCATCATCACCCCACTACTGAACCCTGTGGTGTATTCCCTGAGGAACAAAGAGGTCAAGGATGCTCTGCTCCGGGCCATTGGCAAGAAGCTTTCCTGACAAGATGGGCTTGTTTCAAAGAGGTCTTAGAAGATTCTACAGAGAGGAAAAAGTAGAGCGGTGTGCACAGAGCCTGGAGTGAAAATTCTGGAGCCCACTAAGCAGTGTCTGGGTCAGAAGAGGAGAGAGAAAAAGGACCACAAATTCAGCCACTGGAGAGAGGGAGAAGGTTCTCTAAAGCAGAAGCAAGCCTGCATGTCACAAGAGAATGTAGATGGTACAAAGCATCAAATATAGAAGAAAGAACTTGATTTTGGTAAGTAGGGCTCTCTGCACAGCCTGGGACAGTATGAAATCAAGATAGTAGAACGAATTAATGAGGGGAAGCTCCTTCAGGGCAGGACTGAAGTTTTAAATATATTCTATAATACTCTCCTTTGGACATGGGGTTCCCTTTTATCCATTTAGACTTACATAGGTTTAACACCCAACTGAATTCATTCCTTTGTGGATAATTCAAGTTCCTTGCATCTTAGACACCATAAATAAAGGGAGATCAGAGATAATAAGCATCTATAAAATTCATCAGCCCTTAAAGTCTGAATCTTTTTCACACAAATTCCAGGTTGGCCATATGGGAAAATGCAGACTTAATGTTTTCAGGACCATGTAAGAGAAACATTTTTGGAAAGTGATTAAAATGCCGTGGTGATCTGATTAAAGAAAGAGGTTGCACCAAGTAATCATACTGGCATTTATATTATGAGAATGTATGAAATAAATGTGAATGGTTCACCTAATTAAAAAGAATTTAGGATTGCCTTTGGAGGTGTTTGCAGAATGGACAGAAATAGCTAGTGGACAGGAGTACAGGAGAGAATCTACAGCCAGGGTTAGTCAGGTGAGAAGATTGGGAAGGTTTGGGTGGGTAAGGAGAATATAGCCATCTGGTAACTTTGTGACTCAACAGAAGACTCAAGCCATCAATCCTATCATTTCAGACCCTCTAGGACCTGAATAAATGTTCCATCTTTCATCAGTCACCTCCACTTTCAGCACCTCTCCCCCAGCCTGTCATCTGGTCCTACACAGAACACAGAGTGACCTGTGGTTTCCCATTTACCATTTCACATTCTCATGCCTTTCTAAAGCTTTTTGCCACTTAATGGAAATCCCTTACTGCCACCTTCACTGCCTACTCAGCCAGGGTGCTCTCCTGCTCATTTTTAAACACCAAACTGAAGCATCTCTCTTTTTATGAACCCTCTAATGAAGAAGAAATCACTCCCTCACATGCCTACCTCCAAACCCATACATTCATTATATACTATAGTGAACATTGCTTGTGGTATCTTTATGGATGAAAGTATAAATGGGCAATGAGTGGTGTAACCAGATGAAGTCTTAGTCTTACCTAAGTGGACAGTTCCATCCTGTGTAATGTCTCACTTGTACTAAATGATACTTTTTTCTTCACAGGCCATGTTCTCCTTCATGTTAATTTCAAAAGTTTGGAGCTTATGTCCTAATATTGTAATTTCATAAATAGCCCATTATGGTTCAGTCTTACATAAATTTGACTATGTTTTAAAAAAATTTATAGTGAAATCCAAGAGAATTCAAAATAAAGGTACCCAGGTCTGGCAATGGTCACTTTTACTTTTACTCAGTAAATAAAAAGACTTTTTTATTTTTGCCTGTAGCATCAAAAATGTTGCTCTATCCATTCAACTTTATCAGTGATACTCTGTATCTGCAAACTTAGCTACTTAAAAGGTTAGGCAGCAGTTTTTGGAGGCCATCAGAGTGAACTGGATATAACATAAGCATAGTAAGAAAAAGACTCCACTTTGAATCCTGGCTCTATTTCTTTTTTATTTTTAATGGAAGTACTGGGGATTGAACCCAGGACTTTGTGCATGCTAAGCATGCACTCTACCACTGAGCTATACGCACCCTCCCTGCCTCTACTTCTTATTCACCATAAATACCTGAATAACTATTTAACTTCTCTAGCCATAGTTTCCTTATCTATAAAACATATCAAAGTTTCTTGGGACAAACATATGAAACAGTAAGTGTGAAAATCCTTTGTATATGAGAAAACAGGGACAAAATTTCTCATTTTTATTAGATTAAGAAAACAGCTGCAATCTCTGTAAACTAATTATCTCAGCCAGACCCAGAGGGTTCGATCTCATCCATCTGAAGAGGCTACTACCTCAGAGGGTTCTGATTCTGCTCTTTTGGCTTCCTGCTACCACTTTTATTTCTATACCTCAAGGTAGAGTCTCTTCCCTTAGACATCCTGGAGAATATTCCCCAGACATATCCCAGTCATTCAGCCTGATGTGGTGCTTTAGTGAGCTCATAAGCATGGAAAGTGGTTGTGGTACTTAGTTTCCCCAGACACATGGGCTCCACCCTTCACTTCTCAACTGGTTTCTTTGGTTGGGAAGAGCACAAAATCATAAAAAGACATGAATTTAAGACACACCTTTTTTCCTTCCCAACTGTGTATCCTTAAGGAAGTTACAGAACTCCCTGTCTACAAAATGGGGTTACCAATACCTGCTCTGTCTTTTGCATTAGACCATTGTAAGAATCAACCAAAGTAGAATTAACATAACAGAAACGGTGGTGATAACCACAAAAGGTATTAAGAAATATAATGTAGTATCATCATTATCCCTATTATTATTATCATTATTATTATTATTAGCTAACATAATCCCTAAATTCTTACCTGTCCAATTTTTTGTGGACACTTTATATCCTTCCTCTAATTAATTTTTGGCTTGACTCCTACCTTCCTCCCACATAAGCTTAAGTTCTAAATGCTTTTATATCCTTCCTTAAATCTATAGGTCACATATTTGTAGTTGCTTGCAAAAAAAAAACACTTCCAAACTTTGTATTATTATGTTTTCTTAGCAGTTCCAGTGGTTAACCTTTATCCTCCTGCTCTATGTCAAACACCTTCCCTCTCTATAGTACCAGAACCTACAGCCCTTGAAAAGAAATACATATTGTAACATAAATCAGTATGCATATCTATCTGTCTGTCTGTCTATCTATCTATCTATCTATCTATCATCTATCTATGCCTGTGTATACGTACACCGACATGTACAAACAAGCAGTACCTATCCTTACTACATGCAGGGCATTCTGATGATTTTCATTCTAGTCCATTCTGTTCTATTTTATTTAAATAAATTAGGGAAGAGAGGAGCATCTGAGACATATTTTGACCAAGTACTCAATATTCAATATATATTCAAGTGAAGTTAATCCCTAAGCTCAGTATCAGACTATGTTTCTGAGATACTTAAAATCAAAATCTTATTTAAAACTTAATAACGCTGGAATTTTATTATTAAAAATTCAGTAATCATATTTAAACATCTGAGATTTCAGAGGAGAGACATTTCATCTTCATTGTAGCTGCTAAGTTGTTCTGTCACTAAAACACGTCTAGGATACTAGGTAGATGCTCACTTTTCAAGTGAGAAACTGAAATTGGTGGAGAAACAAAGTATCTTGTGGGTAATACTTCATTTTTCTCTAACATTTCCTTTCCTTAATATTCTTTATTAAATATGGATTCAAAATACTTTATCCTGGATATTGTCATATACGACTTTGGTGCAAAACTGAAATTATGCTGTAATTTGTGTATAAAATCTGAAAAGATTCATGGCTTAAATGGAATTAAGAAGTTAAAAATACAGTGTTTAAAAGTTGTTTTAAATATTATAAATATAAAACACTAGACAATTTTACAAAGATTAGAATTCTGGTGTCTAATTTCCATTATTCTGCTTTGTATATTTAAATTTTATAACTATTTATTGGCTTTATAAGGACATAATTGTTTTTTCTAAAACTATCTAGTAAACAATTCTCTCAATATTTATAGGAAATTTTGATTTATTTTTCTACTTAACTATTTAAAACTCTTAAACTTGCCCAGAAAATTCATAAATCTCATAATTATCATCAATTATTCTTGCATTTAACTCTTGCAATTATAACCAAATGCATACTTCAATCAATTGATAGAATTTTAACATGTAAACCATATAAAGCCATTTCAGTTTAAGTCAAAGATAGAATAATTAATTGTATTTGAATATTTTTTAAAAATTCAAATGACATGCTTTATTCAGATTACTCATGTTGTTGACTGATGAGAGATAACCTATGCTATTACATAATCACTGCTCACCTACAAATTCAGATACGCAAAAGAAAGCATACAAAATTTTCAGCCATTGACTTTGCAAAGACTGAAAGCCAAAGTAGCAACCCAATAGCAGCTTTTGACTGAATGGCAAAAGCAAAGCAAAACTCTGATGTACTCTTGGTATAATCCACTAAACTTAAAGAAAAAATAGGGAGAGATGGATGCCACGAGGGAATGTTGCATGAGTGACATGCCAAGCTGGCTGAAATGGTAGGCGAGTACCTGAGAAGGAGGCTGCCTATTTTTCTTTTTTCTCTTATTCTTAAATAGTAGTATGTGAATTGGCATTTTTTGATTACAAAAGCAATACTACTCTTTGAAAAAACGTTTCAAAAAATCATGAAGGAGAAAATCGAACCTTTGTTTTTCTGATGTTTACTATGGCCCCATGAATATATATAGTATTTCTCCTCTCCACTCTCTCCAGCCCCACCCCTACACCAAACCTCAGAAAGGAAAGAAAATATTTTAAAATTAGAATTATAAGCTTTAAAAAAAACGGAACATTTAGTTGACTAGAAATGATGAGGCATGTTGAGCCAACTATGAAGCATGAAATAGGGACTCCAAACAAATGTAATTAGATTGATAAAGTATCCCAGAAATACATGGGAGTGAAAAGGAGAGTCCAGACACAAAAGTTGGACAAAAAAGTTACTTCATACCCAGAGGCGGAGGAAAATGAGAATAATGATAAATGCCAGGAGAAATTAATAGCGGGTATTAAGCACAGAAGAAGTAGCCCTTCCCGTCACTTCCTGCTCCCAAGTAGGCGGTAGCAGAACAGTGTTGGTGGTTTCCAGACAAGAGC